CCCGCTCCCATTCAGGGAGAGAAACTAAGAAGCCCTGGTGAGGCTCACCAGGAGGCTGAGACCTAATCCCAGGACTGCATGCCCTTCATAGAGCACTTCCCATCCTCCTCACACCTTCCCACCACACGACTAAAACTTATTTACTGCAGTGCCTTTTACCTAGTACATCGTGTCCAGCTTCCAACAAAAAATTACAAGACATATTCAGACGTGAAAGCACAGTCTAAAGAGACTGAACCAGCATCAGAACAAGAGCCAGATATTCAACTTATCAGAAAAGGAGTTTTGTTTTGTTTTTAATAAACTTTGGTTAATATGCTAAGGGCTTAGATGGAAAAAGTAGACAATATACAAGAACAGCTGGATAATGTAAGTAGAGAGATGGAAATTCTAAAAAGCAATAAGAAATGCTAAGGATAAAAAACACCAGCAGAAATGAAGAATGCCTTTGATGGGCTCATGAATGGACTGGAAATGGGTGAGGAAAGAACCTTGGAGCGTGAAGATAGGACAATAGAAACTCCCCAAACTGAAAGGCAAAGAGAAAAAAAGGCTGGGAGAAAAAAAGAACAGCATATTCAAGAAATGCGGGACAATGACAAAGGATATAATATACCTGTAATGGGATTGCTGTGAGAGGGAGAAAGGAAGAGAAGAAATATTTGAAGTAATAATAACTGAGAATTTCCCCAAAATTAATGTCAGATACCAACCCACAGATATAGGAAGCTGAAAGAACACTAAATAGGATAAACACTTTTAAAATTACACCTAGGCATATCATATTCAAACTGCAGTAAGTCAATGAAAAGAAGCCAGAAGGGGGAAAAAAATTGCTTTTCTATAGAGAAGGAGAAATAAACACTTTCTCAGACAAAAATTTGTTGCCTTGTAAGAACTGTTTAAAGAAATTCTTTAGAGAGAAGGAAAAGGATACAGGCCAGAATTCAGATCTACATAAAGAAAGGAAGAGTACCAGAGAATGTGTAAGTGAAAGTAAAAAAACTTTTATTTTTCTCATTCTTAATTGCTCTAACAGGCCGCAGTTTGTTCAAAACAGTCATAGCAACAATATACTTGATAGTGTGTGCTAAGTATAAGTGAAATGAGTGACAGCTATGATGCAAGGGACAGGAGGGAGGAATTAGGAATGTTTTGTTATTAACATAAAGGGCC